CTTCAATATCAATTACTTGATCCAAATCCTCATTGACAACCCAAGAATCAATTAAGTCCATTTTGTCTATAAACGCATCATTTGGTAAGTTCTGAGGTTTCAACATTTGTCCAAAGGTAAACTTCTCGCCATTCTTTGGCATCAAATCCGGTCTGCGGGATAAAGCGTCCGGCTTTGTTGATTGTTTGCCTGCTCGAAACCTGATTTCAAAGTCGAAACTTCCTAAGACTTCCGCCCATCTCGCTTTCCGTCTTGTTAACTCCTTTGTAGTCATTAGCGATTGCAAGTTTTTATGATCAGAGTATACTATAACATTCAACCGGTTTGGATTACCTTCAAGATACTGCCTCCATTCTTTAAAGGACGCAACCACAGCTAGCAGCTCCTTGTTGAATATTTCGTAATTCCTTTCAGCTTGTATTAGGGAACGCGAGAGAAACGCCACCGGGTGTAGTTCACCATCGTCACTTGAGACCTGCGACAAGACTGCTCCTAATGCGTAATCAGAGCAGTCGCATTCTAACACAAAGGGCCGGTAAGGATCGGCAATCTTGAGAATTGGCGCCGTGGTAAATGCTTTCTTGAGATCTTGAAATGCTTGTTCCCTTGCCGTGGTCCATACAAATGGAGTGTCTTTTTGCGATAACTCGTGTAAAGGCCTTGCAATTTTTGAGAATTGACCAATGAACCGCCTATAGAAGTTTGCAAAGCCTATGAATGTTTGTACTTCCAAGACATTTCTAGGTGTAGGCCAATCAGTAACTGCTTGAACTTTAGTTTCGTCCATTCTGATCTGGTTTTTTGAAATGATTAAGCCTAAATACGAAACCCCTTTCTTTGAGAACTTGCATTTTTCAGGCTTCAACCATACGTTCTGCGCTTTCAATATTGCCAAGACTTCCCTCACTACCGCTTTATGATCAACCCCTGGCTTCGTGTAAATAAGGACATCATCCTGATATGCTGCCACATCTCTACCTATATGTGATTTCAATACATCCTGGATAAAATACTGAAAGAAGCCTGGAGCCCCAGTTGGTCCAAAGGGCATTGTAAGGGGTTCAAACTGGCCGCGCTTACATATGAATGCTAATTTAGCTTCGTCGCCTTCTCTGACTCTGAGATTATTGTACCCGTTCCGCATGTCTAAGCTCGTGAATTCGTCTGCGTCCAAAAGGCTATCAATTAGCTCCATTGTTAATGGTAACGGGTATTTGTTCTTTACTGTAACTGCATTTAGTTTACGGTAGTCGAAACAAGGGCGTAAAATTCCATCCTTCTTGCCAGTGAATAGTACCGGAGCCGCCCACAGTGAAGTGGTCCTTTGTATGGTTCCATTAGCTAATCCTCTGTCTAGCATTTCGTCCAAGACTGCGCTTTCTTTAGGAGATAATGGTATAACTCTGCCGGCTTGGGGGGTCGCATTTGGGATCAGATCCACTCAAAAGTCATAGACTCGGTGAGGTGGTAGTCCATTTGCCTTGCTTTTTTCGAACATGTCTAGGTAGTCGTGATAACATTCCGGGACAAGTTCTGTTGCTGACTGTTCTGGCTTGTTCTTGTCTTGATCTGCTGATAGGCGTGCTGATAAATTCCATGATGCTTTCATCGTGTGTACTTCAGGTATCGCGATTCCTGACGACCGGAGTGCTTGAGTATACAGCTTCATCTTCGGTGGTCGAGGTATAGGCTTCGGGACTGTTCCTGGTGGTTTCTGTAGAAGGCGTGACTGCTTTTTCAGTGGTTCTTTGGGTAAGGGCCTCATATCAATAGCAAACTCACTCTGCGGGGGTTTTAATGAGTCATTACTGATCTCAACCCCCATGTCACTTTTCCTAGCATTCCTCTCCTTTTCCTCGCTGAGGTTCGTAGAGGTGTTTTTCGGATTGGACAAAGATGTCAAGGTAACATCTGCAGGTGTTTGTGATTCTTTTCCGCTCATCGAGTTTACCGGTGGTTTGACTTCAAGTTCTAAATGTTGTTTAAGCTTGCAAAGTGCTTCTTCAACGGGTGGGTTAGGAATCGTGAAATACTCACATTGCGGGGGTTTTACCGAGTCATTACTGAACTCAACCCCCGTGTCACTGTGCCTAGCGTGCCTTACAGGCTCCATTCCAGGGTCCATGAAGGCTAGTTGCGGCGTTGACATTACAATGTGATTGGCTTGTGTCTTCAATTTGCTTTCTTTCCAATCAATGATATTCGAGTTTCTTTTGATCCATGGCATGCCAAGGATTGCATCATACTTGTCTCGCAACTGAGTGATGATAAAAGTCGTGGTCTGATGCTCGTGATTGACACAGTAATCTCCCGTGTGAGTTACCTGTGTTTCGTGTCCACTGAATCCAGTGACACTATGTGATTTGGGCAAGGGGTCAATGTGCAGTTTGTGTTTCTCCACAAACTTGAGGCTAATGGCTTCGTGTGTCGCACCACTATCATTTAAGACTCTAGCGGTGATGGTTGTGTCAGAATTAGGGTCGAGAAGTTGGACATTTTCAATAAGACGCGTATCTATCATTTCAAGGCTATCAATAATTCCAACTTCTGCTTCTAAACAAGATTTGCTCGGGGGAGGCACAACTAACAATCCCGAGCTTCTCCATTTTTTGACACTTCAGACCTTCCCTCCTCTTTCTACTTCCCTTTCACTTCTGATAACTGACTATCTAATTCCGCCACTCTTGCTCTTAATCTACTCATCTCGCTTCCTCTGTTACTTCCACCTCTAAATCCTCCATACCCCCTATGTTTCTTTACTTTAGGACAGCTTCCAATGAAATGATCAGGACTCCCACAACTGTAGCACGACCCTGTGGTACCTCGTCGATTGTACTCGTCAGATGAAATGTTTAGACGATACGCGGAGCAGTCCATAGCATCAGGGTCAGTTGCGCTAATGTGCGGAGTTGCAGGTGAAATAGGCGTATAGTTCGATTTGTTGTGGCGTTTGTGGAGTTTATTGTCAATTTTAATGGCCATATGCGCCATTTTCTCAACTTCTTCAAATGTCTCGTTGATCATATAGATGGCAATTTCCGGTTTTAAACCTTGTTCAAATTGAGAAAGAAGGATGTTCTCAGACCACTTGACAATAAGAGAAAGTTCGGAGAAACGGATCCAATAGTCAGAGACAGAACGGATTTGTTTGAGAGCTCGAATTTCTCTTTTGGCCTTAGATACTCGTTCTGTGTCAAAGAAGGTCGCACGGAAAGACTGAATAAATTTGGCCCAGTTGACTAGATGAGTTCTCTCCGGGTCAAGTAGTTGATCGGTAATGGCCTGACTCCAAATGCTTGCTTTTCCCGTCATATAGGACAACGCAAAAGTCACTTGTGATTGTTCGTCGGTAAACAAAGAGGCATCCATTTTCATGTAGAGTCCGATTTGGTTCATAAAAACCTCAGCTTTGGGTCCTTTAGATCCATCAAATTTGTCTGGAGTTGCAATTTTAGGCGGCTTATTATGTGAAGGAGTCGGAATTGGAGCTTGAGGGTGGGCTGCAGGGGTCGAACTAGTCGCATAAGTTTGTCCTTGACTATGATTCGACTCAAGCTGCGCCAGCTTTTGTGCCAACTCTTTGCTTTGGGCATTAGCTTCTTGACTTTCCGTCTCAGCTTTCTTCCGGAGTTCAGTCTCTGTATTCAGCTTCGTATTCATCAAGCTTAATTCTCTCATTACATCTTCCAGAGTTATATTAGACATTCTGGCTTCGGAGGGTGGTTCTACAGTATCTTCGAACATGTCTGAGTTGTGACTCGTAGAAGTCGGGCTCTGTGGTAGCGTAAAGTCCGGCGTCGTGAATCGAGTGTGATCTTAGAGATGTGGAGTGAATGAACTATCGGCTTTAGAATGGTTTGAGTTTTCTAATTTAAATTGTATGTTCTTGAATCTTGCTTTTAAACCTTGCAGATTGATCTTCTTTGTACTACTTGATTTCTAACCGGGTAAACTTTAAACTTTAAACTTTAATAAGCTTTCTTATTCTTGATACTTTCAATAACTTGACTTTCTTCTTGATCCTCTAGCTTCTTCAGATTCCCAATTATAGACGCTACAATATGTAAGGACTCGTGGTGGTGGAAGGGAATGTGAAGATGCTAAAGGTACTTCAGTACTAGTATTGAGATTGTAGCGTGAGGATGCACAGGCCATCCTCGAGCCAGCAGATGAGAGAGCACGAGTCTCAGTACAAGCATAATGTAGATAGCCTTGTATATGGCTCATAACAGACAGTACCTTAGAGTATGTGGAAGATTACCGAAGAAGAGAAGATTCAAGTGAAGACGATGATGATTGGGTACAAATCAAGAAGGCGAAGGTGGAGCCTACGGAGGATCAAGAAAACAACGGGAGAGTACTTACCGGCCTTATATCAAGCCCCTAACTAGATAAAGGTGAGAAAAGTCAATTTAATCAAAACATCTCTCAATTCAAATTCCTCTGTCCTTTCGTTCCTCTTTATTCTTCCCCTCTACGAGGTGATCTACGCCTTCTTCTTCTTCTGTATCCAGCTAGAGGCCAAGAACTGTCCAAGGAAACAAACGACGTAACCTATGTAATAATCGTAACCGCGTTGATAACCTGACTAAAAATATAGCCCTATAACGGCAATGTCAGAGGCCCCATAACAGCTAGTCACATGAATGACGAGTGTATGAACACTAACAACCTCACCCCATAACGGTGAGAAGACCCATACGGTAGTCCCCATAACGGACCTGGGTACGAAGAGCTGTCAAAGACCATCCTTTCCTTACAAATTAACGAAAGTCGTAAGAACAAAGAGGAGAGAACAGGAACTTACATTCCGTTCCCATCCCGCTCGAATCCATCCAGGGAAGCAACGGAGGCAACGCGAGCCATCAGCAGGCCCTTCGGGACCATCGCAAGCCCAGGCAACGGCCTTACTCGACATCAGATCAGCTCTTGACGATAAAAACTTCGAGAAACACGCCGAGTTAATGACGGCTTACCTATTGCGGTACAACCCAGAAAAGATGCAAGTCTTAGCCGTCGAAAGAAACGACCAACTTCTTGTCCAAGAACGAGTCGACACCCAAATCGAAACACGACCGAGAGCAGGCGCAAGAGCTCCAAGAACCGACGCTAGACTCGAAACGGCGAAAGCAGCCGGGGATCCCAAAAGATCGAAACCACCTAAAACGGCGGCTAAACACATCCCACAAGGCCGCCCAATGTCGGAAGATGAGATAGATGAAGTTGAACCATCTCGTACCAGAGGTGACTTTGTCGAGAATGGCATCGAATTCGCGGATGGAAAAGTACCGAGCCACCATATGACGCAGCTAACGGTTTTCTGGGATAACAGAATCAGAAAAATTAAGGGTCACGTACCTATTTCAATGTTTAATAAAGCATGGTTGGAAGCAAATCACAACATCGAAGGAAGGAAAGCATCGAAAAAGAAGAATAAAGATGATGATGACGATTCAGATGAAGACAAATATGAAGGTTTAACTTACCCGGTAGAACTGAGGTTGACGTATGGCGACTGGGTGACATGTTTCAACTTGTTTTTGGATTACCTACGAGATTGGTTTCATTTCAAGAGATTGGTGCTGAAATCCGAAGGCCACAAGAGGAACGTTGAAAGAGTGAAAGCTGAAAACGATGATAACTGGATGGTGGCATTACGGTACGATATCATGATAAGGCGTCAGTTCTGGACAACCCGGGTAGAAGGGGGAAAGGTATCCGATCCATCAGTCCGACAAAAGAAAATAGAAGAGCAGGCTAGACGCACGGTAGACAAGTGTCGAGAATGGGACTGTCACAACAACCCCTACGCCAAAGGGGGAAAACGTCAAGATCAAGATCCTCAGCTAGCTAAGATCGCGACAAAAGAGAAGAATGAAGGGCATGAGAAATCAGACCGGAAGGACGAAACCACAAAAACAAAAAGGAGGATAACTCTTATTCAAAAAGTTATGGTAGAGGCGGTTTCCATGGAAAGAGAGGTCGAGGGCGAGGGAGAGGTCAAGGACGGAATAACTTTCACCAGCGAGACTACGATCGGTACGACAGAGAGGACGACAGAGATTCAAATTACCGTTACAGAAGTGGAGGTGACCGATGGTCTCCGAGACAAGAAGATAAGTCCAGATCACCTACGAGACGGACATGTTCCCCACGCCAATACGATTGTGATGACAGACGAGATTGCTATGACCGAGATGACAAAAGAGATGATTATGGATATTCCGGTAGATCAAACCATAACCATAAGTCTAACGCGAAAGACAGTGCGAAGAAGAAGTGAGTCTTAAAAAGACGGCAACATATGAACTCGAAATAAAAGCCATAGCGCAACATCCATTGCAGAAACTATGAACCACGTCCCATCCCATGTGCCCTAACCGTCCAATGTACCAATGACCCAATGTGAGAGAGAAAAATAACTTACGTGAATTACCACCTTGCCTACCCTTTCCCTAGCAGAAGCTCGCCCCTATCATACAGCTCGTATTCTGAAGTTTCGACGTCTGAGGACGAAGACTTCTCTGACAGAGATAGCGACTGCTGTACCTTGCAGTGGTCTGATGAGAGTGCGTCCGAAGGATCAGTGAGAGAGTGTGCCGATGAAGAAGAGAAAGCAAGATTGAAAAGCTTACATGTAAGAAAAATTCATCGACCAGAAGATGGCCGACCATGGCCTTGTAGGGTCCGTTGTGAGATGGATGTGAGAGAGTGGCAACGCCAATTAGAATTGACCGGCCTCATAGACAAGTATGAAGACGTCATCAAAGGATTCAAGTACGGCTTCCCCCAAGGGATACCGGATCACCGGATTGGAAAGATGCCATGGTACACCCCAGATAATCACAAATCAGCGACGGACGTGCAAGAAAAAATCAGAAGAACATTAGAAAAAGAGAAAAGGGAAGGCAGAATCTACGGACCTTTCTCTCATGCTCAAGTAAAAGAGTGGTTCCTGTTTTTCAGGTCAAGTCCGATGGGAAGTACAATAAATGGGGATGGAACATTTAGGGTGATACACGACCTGTCTTATCCAAGAAGGAAGAAAGGAGTACCATCAGTCAATTCGTTCGTAAATAAGAAACACTTCAAAACCACGTGGGACAACTTCAATAAAGTTGTAAACTTCTTTAAGGAAAACCCAGGCATATGGCTTCTCGCGATATTCGATTGGGAAAAGGCTTACCGCCAAATCCCAACAGACCCAGATCAATGGCCCTACTTGATATTAAAAGAGTTCGAAGGAAGATTGTGGATTGACACCAGAGTGGCCTTCGGAGGTGTAGCTGGATGCGGAATATTCGGTAGACCGGCCGACGTGTGGAAAGAGTTGATTCAAGCACAACTATCAATCCCAAAGGTTTTCCGATGGGTCGATGACAATATGCTGTTAAAAAGACCAGAGTCAAGGGTAACAATGAAAGATGTGGTCAAGATCAGTGATAGGCTTGGCGTGAAGACAAATGAGACAAAGTACCATGAGTTTGCATATGAACAAAAGTATGTGGGGTTCATCTGGAACGGCAAATCACACACCGTCAGACTACCTCAAATGAAATTAGATCAACGAATAACAGAAGTGAAACAGGTACTTGCCACGAAAGACAAGATCTCTTTTAAGGAGTTCGAAGGCCTGGTAGGTAGGCTGTGTCACACAATCTTGATTCTTCCGCATATGAAACCCTATATGAGATCAATGCACCACTACAAGAAGGTATGGGGCAACCAATGGATCAGAAGAGAACTCACAGAAGATGTTAGAGAGGATTTAAAACATTGGGACTATACCTTGAACAACTTCGAAAACCTAAGGATCTTACCTGAGAAGTCACCGGTGGAAGTAAGGTGGTACGGAGATGCCTCTACGTCATTCGGCTTAGGCGTAAAGGTGGGATCGTTGTGGGCCATGTTTCGCTTAAGAACAGGATGGCAAACCAAATACTTGAATCGAGACGACCAAGAAAGGAAAATCACTTGGGCCGAAACAGTCATCATTCGGCTAGGACTCCTGATGTTACGAAAGAGGTATGAAACAGGCGGGAAACGGTTCATAGTGCATACAGACAATACGACTACGGAAGGGGTAGTCAGGAATCGGAAATCAAAAGATAAAACGGTCAATGACGAGTGGAAAGTTATTCAACACTTACTAACCGATTACCAGTGCGACATAAAGGGAGAACGAGTAACATCGGAAGCGAACCCCGCAGACGCACTGTCTAGAGGAGATAACTCGAAAGAAGCTCTCAACAATCAGATCCAAATTCCAATTCCTGAAGACTTACAAGGCCTCATTGTACAAGAATTTAAGAGAAATGAACCAACCAAACAGAAAACCCAAACATCCGAAACCCAAGAATCCTCCAAATCTAGACGAGCTTAAAACCGGTCCGGATGGTGTGAAGACAATGACAAATGAACAATTGGTCGAACATATCACAGGAGGTGGCTGGGTGGAAGAAACGATGAAGTTATACAACTCAGGAATTAAGAAATACATAAAGTTCAATGAGAAAGAAGGTAGACAAAGGAACCAATGCTTACCTGCGTCGAAGAAGTTGATTTACGAGTTTTTATTGTGGGAAAGTGAAAGGAAGAACCCAGAGGAGACATCAAATGAAGCGGTGAAGTCCGACGCCATTGGGAAGTACCTAGTCGGGTTAAAAGCGTGGCATAAATTACACCAATGTCAATTTCCAGATATTGACGAAGACTTCACAAAACTGATATTAAAAGCGTCCAAAAAGTACAAGAAAGAAAAGAAACAATCAACATCAGAGCAGTCCGAACAAGTTCTCCCGGAGAAAAATGGTGAAAAAGAGCCAGTTTTAATATCTCACCTCAGTCAAGTCGCAAATGAATTAGAAGGGAAAGGCAACAAAGCAACAGCAATTGTAGCAGTCGCGTTGGTGGCGTTTTGGGGCCTAGCGAGACTAGGAGAGCTAGTTTCGGACAATCCGTCGAAGAAAATCCCGGTGTTGAATGATTTAGTGCTGGTAAAAGACACCGGAAGCCTAGAGTTAGCGATCCACGAGGCGAAAACAGCAAAACAAAATGAGATTCAGTACCTAATTTTGAAGAAACAACCAACCTCACTAGACCCGGTACGCGCCTTGGAACGAACCGTGAAATTAAACAGAATAAAGAAAACTGACCCTTTGTTCTCGTATATGAGAGACAGAGAAAGGTGGATACTGTCAAAATCAGAAGTGATGAAATGCTTAAGCGAAGTTTGGAAGCGGAATGGCTCAGAAGGGCCGACAGGGCATTCTTTTCGTGTTGGAGGAGCTTCGCTCTTAAATTTCCATGGTTCGTTGATTGAGAGTATAAAACAACAAGGTCGTTGGATAGGTACCTCATATAAGAGGTATATTAGAGAATACTCCAAGGAGGAGAAGGTCGAGATAGTGAATACGTTACAGAAGCTTAGAAATTAATTATATAAAGTTTTGAAAGAGAGAAAGTGTCCTGCTAATCTCCGAGAATGAGTTGAGAGAAGAGAGGTGAACAATTATATGTTGCGTGAACGATTCACGTGGTTCATAATTAAAAAGATCAGCAAAGTTTGAACTGAGTGAAAGTGAGCCCATTGAATCCAAATCCATTGAATCCAGTGGAACATGCATCGACCGGGAAAAGAAAAAGGGGGCACCGAATTCAGAGGAAGGGGTGCTTGTCAGAGCTCTGAACACGATGCCCAGAAAACGGGGTCTGACAGCTCCTATCCTCTGCATCAGGTAGTAATCCCCCCCTCAGGCCTCTCATCCTTTACTGGATCAATCAAGGCATACGATAGCCCTTGAGAGTCTAGTTGAAGACCCGAGAGAGGCCCCGAGGGGCCCCCCCAAACCACTCGTCTTCCCTCCTAGACTAACCGATAGCCTAGAAGTGACGGCAAGTGAAGGGATTCTAGTAGAGGTCCGACACTGCAGTCCCAAACCTTAGAGAGAGCATACTTCTCTAGCTTATGCGCACACTCCAATAGAGGAGTAGAAGGACTGTTCATCCAGCTACTACTTCTACTCAAGATTTTATTATCACTGATTCATCTTCAATCATGGCAACCTCGACCAATTTTGCTGATGATAAAATCACAATCCCTCAACTCACCGATGTCCAATTTCCTCATTGGAATAAGCGCTTACACTTCGCGCTTCAAACTAGGGGTTTACTGAATTTTCTCACTAACACTACACAAAATATAATATTTTCTGGGCAGAAAATTAAATTATTGATACACAAAAATATTGAGAGGCCAGGAGAAGGGCAAAAAATAAATAAAAATATGCATCTTGTTCCCTGCGGTGAGAGCTTCACTATCCATATTTTTCCATATTTTTACAGTCCGTATTGATAAGTGTACTAACAATAAACCTTCATAATCATCCAATTACAACCTGTAACAAGCACTGAAATTTGGCTCATTAGTGTTTAGAGAAACTTTTGATTTCTGAAAACACCTATAGCTTTGTCAAATCTGCCTCAAAACACTCGATTTTAAGTGCATTGGAAAGCTGAACTCTTCCTCTCGAACTTTCATAAGATCAAGAACTATGTAGCTAGTATGACAATCATTCTATGGATCTGTATGTACAAATGTATAAACAAGATGATATCTTTTTTAGCAGACCAGCATGCTGTGTGGTCCTATTATGAACTATTTGGAGGACAATTCCAGCTTACCAATGCACCCAAAATCGAGCGTTTTGGACCGGAATTGAAAAAGTTATGAGTATTTTCAGAAATCAAAAGTTTCTCTAAACACTAATGAGCCAAATTTCAGTGCTTGTTACAGGTTGTAATTGCATGATTGTGAAGGTTTATTGTTAGTACACTTATCAATATGGACTGTAAAAATACGGAACAATATGCAGAGTGAAGTTCTCAACGCAGGGAACAAGATGCATATTTTTATTCATTTTTTGCTCTCCTCCTGGCCTCTCAATATTTTTGTGTATCAATAATTTAATTTTCTGCCCAGAAAATATTATCTTTCTTGTAGTGTAATGATACTCCTAGGAGTCGGTACACGTATTGACAAATGGGAATGGGACGGGAAAGGGTTTCGGATAATGCAATAACCGGGTCACAGCAACTCCATCCAATCCTTTCAGACAACACTCATCTTATACTCATCTCATAAGTAATTAGATATGATGTCATGATGAATTGGATGGATAGGATGAATTATCAATTCCCTATTTTCCCAATCCATATTATAAAATCTTATAAAAATATTAATTATCAAATCATTCATCCTTTATTCATTATCCTGAAATCTTTTCACTTT